AAAAAAAGGCTTAAGAGGGAAATAACCCTGATTTTATGATTCTGGAGCCTTCTGTAGACCACAGCCTTTTACCAGCTACTGCACCTTGAACAACTCTGACCCTCTCACCTCCTTTTGAGTGCTGAGACTCTAGGCCTCGGCCACTACGCCAGGCTGAATGCAGTGCTAGGAATCAAACCCAGGGCTTCGTGCGTGCCAGACAAACACCCTGCCAAACTGAACTACACATAAATCCCCTACAATCCCCAAAATTTGTTTGAGACAGGGTCTATGCAGTCCTGTCTATCCTGGAACTTACAATGTAGATGAGGCCTGCTTTGAAATCAGAAATTCACCTATCTCTGCCTTCTTTGTGCTGAGGTTAGAGGGGTGACACCACCTGTCTTGTAGAAAGATGCTTTCTCTACACATGTGGATGTGTGTGCTCATACGAGTGTGGTTGTGGAGGCGAGATCAACCTCAATGTTGTTTTTCACTTGTCCACCTTGATTTGGATTTAGATTACTATATGTATGTGGGTAATGTGAGTGCAGGTACCAGTCAGAGGAGCCAGCACACCCTGGAGCTGCAGCTAGGGAGCCAAGGGATGTGGTTGCTGGCCTCTCATCGCTGGTAGCTTCTGCCTTGACAGGGTCTCACTGGGATCTGGCAAGACTTTCAAGAGCACAGGGCAACCTTCCTCTGCTTACTCAGCACTGTACCTAGTTTGTGTGGTTTTATTTTCTTGGGACAGGGTCTTCTGTTGTAGCTCAGGCTAGCCTTTAACTCTGGCAGAGGCATATGCCTTTAACCCCACACACAGGAAGTGGAACCTGTCCTGAGCTATATATACTGAGTGGACAGAAAGGCCAGCACAGGCAACCAAGACCATCACAAAGTGAAGAAAAAAAAAAAAAACAGAAAATAAGCAGTACAGCCTTTCCCTACCATATCCCAGGCATTTTGCTCAACCAAGTACCAAATACCCTCATGCTTAGTGGTGTAAATGAGCCCTAACCATTGACAAAAGTTCCCACTTGCTACAATGTAGCCCTTACCGGTTAAATTTCACCTCTGCAGACTCCTGACATTGAGAATAACACAGGTCCTGCTGTTCAGTGTCATAATCCTCAAACAGGGCTGGCACACCACCTTCAAAATATTCAGTACACACACACCTCCCCCATTATTGTGTAGCTCTGGCTGGCCTGTGACTCAAGGCTTTCCATCCTAAGTGCAGGTATTAAAGCTATGCACCAAACCACCCTAAGGATCCTTTGACATTTGGTCTTGTGGGGTCTGGGACACTAACCCTGTATAGACTTTCCCAAGCATAGCTGAATTGTAATCAAGACAGCTTTAGAATAGCACAGTAACCAGGAAATTGTACCAATACATCCCTGTTCCCCTAACACACAAACACTGAATCCCCCAGTGGTGACCTCTTACTATCCCAGGGCATAAAGCCTGGAGAATCAAGCTGGGAGACTTACCCCAAACAAAATAAGTATACAAGGACACATTTTCTTAAAGCTTTTTACTGTGAGACATCATGGAAAATCCGTATAGGGACACAGACAAGACATGATCACAGAATGAAGATAACAGAGGAATCAATGCCTGTCAGCAAATAGAGCTGAAGTTCTGGGAGTTTGACATGATCCAGGGGCTGAAAGAACAGATTAGTATTCCTCTCCTTCTTCCTCACCCTCTCCCTCAACAGAATCCACACCAACCTCCTCATAATCCTTCTCTAGGGCAGCCATGTCTTCACGGGCCTCAGAGAACTCCCCTTCCTCCATGCCCTCACCCACATACCAGTGCACAAAGGCACGCTTGGCATACATCAGATCAAACTTGTGATCTAGGCGAGCCCAGGCCTCAGCGATGGCTGTGGTATTGCTCAGCATGCACACAGCTCTCTGGACCTTGGCCAGGTCTCCACCAGGTACCACGGTGGGAGGCTGGTAGTTAATGCCAACCTTGAAGCCAGTGGGGCACCAGTCCACAAACTGGATGCTGCGCTTGGTCTTGATGGTGGCAATGGCAGCATTGACATCTTTGGGAACCACATCCCCACGGTACAGCAGGCAGCAAGCCATGTATTTACCATGGCGAGGGTCACATTTCACCATCTGGTTGGCTGGCTCAAAGCAGGCATTGGTGATCTCTGCTACAGAAAGCTGCTCATGGTAGGCTTTCTCAGCAGAGATGACAGGGGCATATGTGGCCAGAGGGAAATGGATGCGAGGGTAGGGTACCAGGTTGGTCTGGAACTCTGTCAGGTCAACATTCAGGGCCCCATCAAATCTGAGGGAAGCAGTGATGGAAGACACAATCTGGCTAATGAGGCGGTTAAGGTTAGTGTAGGTGGGGCGCTCAATGTCGAGGTTTCTACGACAGATGTCATAGATGGCCTCATTGTCTACCATGAAGGCACAATCAGAGTGCTCCAGGGTGGTGTGGGTGGTGAGGATGGAGTTGTAGGGCTCAACCACAGCGGTGGAAACCTGGGGGGCTGGGTAGATGGAGAACTCCAGCTTGGACTTCTTTCCATAATCGACAGAGAGCCGCTCCATCAGCAGGGAGGTGAACCCAGAGCCAGTTCCCCCACCAAAGCTGTGGAAAACCAGGAAGCCCTGAAGACCCGTGCACTGGTCAGCCTGTAGGAGAAAAGAAAAGGCACCGCTGTATCAACAGGGTGTATTGCACCACTTGCAATTCCTTTACTTGAATTAAAAAATATAGTGAATTGTATTAAAAATGATCTCATGACCATGTGTACGAGTCTATCTAGTTAATGTAGTGAACAAAGTTTACATATTTTGGCAGGTACCAACACTCCCCCACACTGTATTTTAAATGCATCCATCTATGGTATTTACCAGTTTGCGAATTCTGTCCAAGACAAGATCAATGATCTCCTTGCCAATGGTGTAGTGGCCACGGGCATAGTTGTTGGCAGCATCTTCCTTGCCTGTGATGAGCTGCTCAGGGTGGAAGAGCTGGCGGTAGGTACCAGTGCGAACTTCATCTGGAAAAGGAGCCCAAGTCAGCCATTCACCAACAGTAACTGACACAAGCTCACTCACTCTTCGGTGTCTGAAGAGAGGTTCTGAGTGTGTGACCAGGACTGAATGCCTCAGGGAAGCCCCTGGCCCACTTACCGATAACTGTGGGTTCCAGGTCTACGAACACAGCCCGGGGCACATGCTTGCCAGCGCCTGTCTCACTGAAGAAGGTGTTGAAGGAGTCATCTCCTCCCCCAATGGTCTTGTCACTTGGCATCTGGCCGTCAGGCTGGATGCCATGTTCCAGGCAGTAGAGCTCCCAGCAGGCATTGCCGATCTGGACACCAGCCTGGCCAACGTGGATGGAGATGCACTCACGCTGTGGGACAGAAAGGGGAAAATCTATTAGTAATGCTGCAAGCAGCTGGAATTCTAACAGTGGCACAACGTGACAAATTGTTAAAACTTATTTAAAAAAAACCCAGCAGCTCATTTCGGCTTTTCCACACCTAGAAGTGCTTAGTCACACTTCCTCTTTTTTGAAAAACCAATATATGAAGGAAGATCTTTCATCTACCCTGTGCCCTCAGAGTTCTACTTTTGCTTTGTGCCCAGATTTCCGGAAAATTCAAGCCAGAGGAAGCATGTGACTGAAGCAGTGAGGGGCAGTGTCTGGTGGCAGGGCTCTGCGGAATGGGATAAAGGAGCATTTGTAAGTGCACCCAGGCTTCCGGGATGCAGCTGGCTTGCGACTTCCTCTATGTGTAGGCACCGAGCTTAGCTCCTCCACATGGGACCTGGTCCAGCAGGGGATTATAAAACTCCCAGATCCTATTTCTGTTTCCCTCAAAACCCTTCAATGCCACCACCTGGTCCCACACAAATCCCTTATTTGAAACAGCTGGGACCTCAGGCTGTTGCTAAGTATTGTGGACTATAGTCGAGGAAATCTGCCTGATATTCCTTATTGCTTTCTTTAACAGCAAAAGGAACATCGAGGCTGAGGTAGAGGGGGCTTAGGACTCGAGGCCCTGGGTTCGATCCTCTGTCCCCCAAAATACAGGATCCAACAGGAGACACACCCTAAACGAATTAAGCCCGCAGTGCCCCAGCGCGCACGCGCACACTGCAGAGGCTCTTCCCGCCGCTCTCAGGCGGGAACGTAACGGTCGCGCATGCGTCTTTGTGTCCGGGCGTCTCCCCGCCCCCGCCTTTTCTCACCAAAGAGGAAGTGAGGGCGGGGAAAAGCTGTGTGCGCGCGCCCGAAAAGCAGAAGGCAAGGTAAGGGTGGGGGAAGGGCCCGCGCGCGGGAAGACTGCAGTCTGAAAGCGCCATGCTGTAAAATGCCTCGTGCAGGGTGTGGATGGATGCAGACCATAGTCCAGCGGGGCCCGGGAGATGCCCTTCTCCTCCACATCCCGGAGGTCCTCAGTAGTCTGGGCCCCATACTCCCTGGCTCGCCCAGGGGGACCCGGGACAACCCCTTCCCCCCAGACCCGGGCGGTCCCCAGCAGCTTGCGCCCCATGCTCGTCCGCTCTCCCAGGGGTACCCTAGAGAGCCCCTTCTCCCCCTGATACGGGCGATCCCCAGCAGCCTGAGACCCTTGCTCTCCTGCTCGCACACGCCTCAGCCCCACCCAGGCCCCACCAAGCAACCCTCCTCCTCGTCTCCCCTCCCTGTTCCGATGCACTCACCATGATAGCTACGGGTTAGAAGGCGAGGGTGACAAAAGCAGACACCGGGTCACGGTTACCGTTCCCGACAGCTAAGAGTCGAGGTAAGTAACGCAATGAGGTAGAGGCGTCGGCTCCAGAGCCTCTTAAGTAGTTGCTGAGGAAGGGCGGGCGCGACCGGGCGGCCAGGGTCCCTCCCCCGGCCGGCCGGAGCCATTGAGCGCCCGGCTGGCCGCCGCAGAGGCGGGCTCGGCTCGCAGTCCCCTCCCTGCATGGGCCCTCGGGGCGGGGCAGCCGCCTGGGCGTGCGCCGATGCTGCAGACTGGGGCGCGCCGCTGCAATGCGGGAGGGAGGGGACGCTGCAGCAGACGAGAGGGTGTGGGAGCTTGGGGAGACTGGTGCAGTCTTGAAGAACCGGGGGACTTGAGAGGTCCGCAGTGTTAAAAGTGCTGAAAGGTGTGGTCCGGATAGCTCAACTGATCATTCATGTGGCCACACTCGATGAGTGAGTTTTGCCTTTTTCCTTGCTTCCTTTAAAGGCTGTGGGTACCTGCTACTGTGAAAGCCCTTTATAAAACCCAGTCTCTACACTTAGTATATTGTCATGGTTCATTCTTAAAACCACACTTAGTATATTGTCGTGGTTCATTCTCGAAACTAAAGGTATCAAGTACTGGAAACAAACTGAGTCATCCAAATGTTAAAATAAGGGCCGACTAGGCCACAGTTTCAGCCACAAGCTACCAACTTAATGGGATTACCCTAAATAAGGGCTCTTTCCAAAGATTTTAAGAACATTTGAAGTGGTAGCTAAGTTGAAGAAGTGAGGAGAAACGAAAAGGAAAATGTCTCACTGAAGGATACAGACAGCAAGGATTTCTTGTGCTACACAAATTTTCTGAGTGCTATAATGACCAGATTATAATCAATAAACTACCCTCCCCATTTATTCCAAGGCCATGAACTACTACTGGCCTTAGAAATTCGTAGCGCTATGAGGGCTAGCTAACACGTGGCTTTAAACCTCGCCCTCACGGGACAGACTGCAGTCACTCAGCTATTCAAAATGTCCTCCTCGCAGTGGCAGCAGCGAACACAGATCATTCGGGCTGCGCAGGCTGAAACTCCCCCTTTGAGAGCCTCAGGCGCCTCGTAGTCAGGTGCCCTGGGATTCTTTACAAAGTGCAGCAGAGCTGAATTCCAAGAGTCCCAGTAAAGGAATGCCTCAGCCAGTCAATTCATTAGAAGAAAGACTTGAAGCCAGGCGCCTAGTGTTAGAAGACAAGGCCCCCGAAGTGCTTCAGCAGCAACTATGTAGGTAATTTCGGGCGCTTTTGGAGTTACGTTGTTTAAAAGAGGTAATGTGGACTGAGGAAATAGCTGGGTTAGGACTTGAGTTTGATTCCCAGAACCCAAGGGGAGGACGGGGGGGGGGCATCATGGTGGCTCTTGCTTGTGTCACGTATACTGCAGAGACTGGCAGAATCCTCTGGCTTAGTGGCCAGCCAGACTGGCTTTTCTGGGCTAGTTCCAGGTCGTTGAAACCATGTATCAAAAGCAAACAAGCAAAAATGTACCCACACAAATATGTAAATGTGATAAATTTAAAACAAAAAAACCCTAAAAATTGATCACATGCATGCTCATACACATGTATGTTCACATATGTGCCCCCCACATATATACATAACACTAAATATGTAAAAGATATAATTTATAAGTAAAGTTGAGGGAGAAGGAAATGTGATCTCATTATCTCACTTCCTTCTCAAAAGAAGGATGTTTGGCCAGGTGGTGAAGGTATTTGACTTTAATCTCATAACTGGGGAGGTAGAGGTAGGTTTGAGTTTGCAGCCAGCCTGGTCTACAGAGCAAGTTCCAGGACAGCCAGAGCTACACAGAGAAAGCCTATCCCAAAAAAACAAAAAGAAAAAGAAAAGAAGGCTGTTTGGTGTTGTTTTGAGAGTCTCTCCTATAAGCCAGGCTATCTCAATTTCATGTAGTTGAGATTGGCTTTGAACCCTCTGATCCTCCTGTCTCTACCTACCAAATACTACGATTACAGATACCCACCACCCTATCTGGCTGCTGGCTGAAAGAACTTTGTGTGTGTGTGTGTGTGTGTGTGTGTGTGTGTGTATTGGTGGGTGGTTCAAGGCTTTGGAGGCTGTCCTGGAACTAGCTCTTGTAAACCAGGCTAGCCTTGAACTCACAGAGATCCGACTGCCTCTGCCTCCTGAGTGCTGGGATTAAAGGCATGTGCCACCAACGCCCGGGGAAGAAAAACTTTTTAAACAACATTTTATTATGTTTAGTTGTATGTGCACGTGTAGTGTGTACCACAGACCACATATGGATGCCAAAGGACAACTTGCAGGAATCCACTCACTGTCTCTTCTACCTTGTAGGGCCCAGGGATCCAGTTCAAATTAAGCTTGGCAGAAGGTGCTATTAGTTTTGGCAGATGGTACCTGGTGAGCATCCTGTGCCACATCCAACATGGCTCCAGGGTCAGACTGGATTGGGGCAGAGAGGGAATGAAGAAAAGACATACATACATGGCTGTGACTGGGCGCTGTGGGCTCTTAGCTAGAGGCACCACAGTGCTCTGGAAGCTAAGTGTATTTATTATGAAGAGTTGAACAGAGAAGTGGAATTATTGAGTACCGATGACAAGGGGGCAGGGTCCATGGTGTACAGCTGGACTGAGGAGACAGGTTTAGCAAATCTCATAGGAGCAGTGTCTGTAGGAGGGCAGTCTTCTGGACATAAATGTCAGGGTGGAAAAGGCTACATGGACATTTTATGCACACATGGTCAACACTTGGGGGAGGGAGGAAGGCTTTGCTTTCCTCTGGACCTCGCTCTGGGGTGAAGGCTTTGCCATGATTCCATGGATCTGAGGCTCTGTAGTCTTTGACTCATGTCAAAAGCACATGTCCACTCAGGACTTCACTCGGGGTCTCTCCATTTTCTACACTCCTGTAATATGTATGTATGTATGTATGTATGTATGTATGTATGTATGTATATAATCCTGAGCATGATTTTTTTACTTTCTTAATAGTTTTGGTCATGATGTTTTTAGGCAAGGAATGTAATATCTGGTAAAGTTTGTATGCCAGGCAGTCTCCAATCGGCTGTATGGAAACTTTTGATTGAGTCAAGTTCATGTAGGCAAGGATGGAGGACTTTTTTGCATATCCCTTTAACATTTTCCTGTCTTCTCTCCTTCTTCAACAGGGTGCTATAAAAATAGCAAAAAGGCAAGTATAACAGTAAGAATCCTAGTTCATATTCAGTTGTTACCTTATTCAGATTTGGTGAAGCCTTCACCGATTGCATCATACAGACAACAAGCTTACACTGTTAACACATGTGTGCATTTTGTAAAGGTGTGTATATGCACATACATGCCTTCCACCTGAATCTGGCATGCAGATGAAGAATTTCTTACATTTTTTCCACATTTGGATTTTTGAGACATAGTCTTGAACTGCAAATCAGTTGATTTGGAATTCACTCTGTAGCCCAAGCTAGCCTTGAACTTAGGTCGTCCTGTCCCAAGTTCTAGGGTTACAGGGATGACCCAGCACCCCTGCCTGCCTTGCTTCTCTTCCCATCTCTTTTTCTTTCTCTATTAGGGGTGGTTCTAGGAACTGAACCCAAGGACTGATTCGAGCGTGGCAAGTACTTTATCACTAGAACTCACTGTGTAGCCCAGGCTGGCCCTAAGCTGTTGACATTCCTACGTGAAACTTTCAACTACTGGAATTACAGGTATGATCTAGCATTCTTGGCTTCCTTAACTTTGATTTTGGAGACAACGTCTCTAGCTCAGTCTGGCCTCAAACCCCCTACATAGCCAAGGATGATACTAAACTGCGGATCGTCCTGCCTCCATCTTTTGAGTAATAAGACTCTAGGTGAAGGCCACCACCACACTGCTAGGGATTGAACCCAAGGCCTTATGCTTGCTGGGCAGCAACCACTCTACTGACTGAGCAGTATCTCCAGCCCCTTAGATGACTTGGTTGGTTAGTTGGTTGATTTGTTTTTGTTTTTCAAGACAAAGTTTCTGTGTAGTCTTGACTGTCCGGGAACTCTATAGACCAGGCTGGTCTTGAACTCAGAGATCCACTTCCCTTTGTCTCTTGAGTGCTCTGATTAAATGACTTTTTTTTTTCAATGAAAAGAACTAGTAGCCGGGCGTTGGTGGCGCATGCCTTTAATCCCAGCACTCGGGAGGCAGAGGCAGGCGGATCTCTGTGAGTTCGAGGCCAGCCTAGTCTACAAAGTGAGTTCCAGGACAGCCTCCAAAGCTACAGAGAAACCCTGTCTCAAAAAACCAAAAAAAAAAAAAAAAAAAGAACTAATAATTTTATTTTCACATGCACAATTATAAATTAAAACTGCTGGGGCTAGCTGGGCAGTGGTGATCCATACCTTTAATCCCAGCACTTAGGCAGAGGCAGGTGGATCTCTGTGAGTTTGAGGCCAGCCTGGTCGATAGCAAAAGGTTCAGGATAGCCAGGACTACATAGAGAAACTGTCTCAAAACATACACACACACACACACACACACACACACACACACACCAAAAAACAAAAAAACCTAAAACCTACTGGGGCTGGAGAGTCGGCTCAGTGATTAACAGCACTTGTTTGCTCTTGCAGAGGACCCAGGATCAGTTCCCAGCATTTACACAGTAGCTCATAATCATCTGCAACTCTAGTTCCAGGAGATCTCATGTCCTCTGACCTCCAAGAGCAGGCAAAACGTGCAAATAAATAGATACATGGAAACGTTATCTTTTATCGGACTTGTCCCCTCTAAAACCCTTCTCTTTGGCAGGAAGAGGGAGCATGTCCTCCTTGTCATACTACTGAAATCACTCAGGCATAGCCCCATGATCCACTGGCGAAACAGAAGAGGTAATACAAGACAGAGAGCAATGCCACCACTACCTCCCTTATGTCTGGCTGAGTCATCCCTGGTCAAGTGGGTACCATCTGGTGGAAAGTAGGAGGGTCAACTGCACACTTTTAATCTCGGTTTCTTAAAAGGCTGCAGCAGGATAAGTTTGAGACCAGCCTAGGCAGTATAGTGAGTACCTGTTCCTCAAAGTGAAGGGGTGGTGGTGAAATGGGTCCTTTATAGAAACAAGCACTATCAGGGAGGGAGAACCCCACCCACCATGACTTTTTTTTTTGTTGTTGTTGTTTGAGACAGGGTTTCTTTGTATTGTTTTGGAGGCTGTCCTGGAACTTGCTCTGTAGACCAGGCTGTCCTCGAACTCACAGAGATCCTCCTGCCTCTGCCTCCCAAGTGCTGGGATTAAAGGTGTGCGCCACCAACGCCCGGCCCGTGACTTGTTTTTTATTCTATTGGTCAAAGCCAGGTTCAATTCTGAAGGAGGCTAGGAAGGCAAGGGTTGGGAGAGGAAGGGTTTGTTCTAATTTACCCCTGGGAACCAGCACTGAGTACTTTTCTCGCATCTGGGAAGAATGGAAGAGGGATCATCTTAGACCTTTGCCGTGGCTTAGATCTTGAACGCCCCCAGACACCGCTATGTTGAAGGCATGATCCCCAGCACTGCACCATTGCATAACAGTGGAGTTTTTAGGAGTTAGGAACTCATGGAAGGAAATCTCGGTCACTGGGACATGTCTTTGAAGTGGATACTGGGATATGGCCCCTTGTCTTCCTGTCATTCCCTTCCTGGCTGCCATGAGCTAGTTCTGCTAGGCCTCCAAGCTGATGCTTGGAAGCAGTTGCATCACCAAAAAGATCACCCCAGTATAGGAGAAGTCCCACAGAAGCTGGGTATGTGGAGTTCCCTTGCCCACTTTACATGTACACCCCACCACACACACACACACACACACACACACTCTCTCTCTCTCTAAATAAATAAATAAATAAATAAATGTTTAACAATATAAAAGATAAAATATAGTTCAAGTAAAACACACTGGCCCAGGAAATGGTTCAGCAGTCAAAAACTCTGCTGCACAGGTGTGACAACATCAAAGCTGGACCTGGCAGTATACACCTGAAAGTCCAGTGTGGGAGCAGGAATTGGGGAAGAAGTATCCCTGGAGCTCTCGGGTAGCCATTCTAACTGATCTATGAGTTCTAGGTTCAGTGAGAGACCATACCTAAAAGCATAAGGTGATAGAGCTGGAGAGATGACTCAATGGTTCTCCACACCTATATCTGGCAGTAATTAACTGCCTGTTAATGCCAGCTACAGGGGATCCGACACCTCTGACCTCCAAGGGCACCTGCATTCATGTGTGTATACCCACACAGAGACACATGCATACACAGGATTTAAAGATAAAAAATAAGTAAAAAGAAAGGTAAAGGATGGGTGTGGTGGCACACACCTTTATTCCCAGCACTCGGAGGCAATGTTGTGAGTTCCAGGCTAGCCTGGTCTACAGAGCTAGTCCCAGGACAGCCAGAAGTATTTATTACACAGAGAAACCTTGTCTTGAAACCAAAAGAAAAAGGAGAGAGAGAGAGAGAGAGAGAGAGAGAGAGAGAGAGAGAGAGAGAGAGAGAGAGAGAGAGAGAGAGAGAGAGAGTGTTTTCGGGGCCAAGTAGTGTGGCCAGCCCTTAGGAGGGAGGCAGAGGCAGATGGATTTCTGTGAGTTCCAGGGCAGCCTTGTATGTATAGCAAGACAACAAGGGCTACATAATGAGACCCTGTCTCAAAAACAAACAACAACAAAAATGCAAAAAGTTCCCAACACATATCTCTCCTCTGTTTTCTTACCTAGAATGTGTAACAAGGGCAACTATGATGACAAAACACCTATGCCATATGGTATGGGTGGAAGAAAGAATCTAGGTCCCTGTGACAGTGTGGAGCTACAGAAGCCTAGGATTGCGTCATCAGTTTGAACACATTAGCAACAAACTCAGAGTCACAACAATGTGCCTGAGTCTCATTAGGGAAGGGAATCAAAGCACTTCCCCTTGTAGACATTTAACCCAGAGTGAGACAAGGTTTGAATTCTCGACTTCACTCTTCCTGTGTCTTCATTGTCCTTTATCTGAGTCTGTGCCAGCCTAAATGCTGTCTTGGGGTCTGTCCCTGCATCTTTGTGCCTGTGTGTTTGATCCTAACAAAGGACTTTGCTCCCTCTTTTATCGACCAGTACAGACAGCATCACATGGGAAAAGATTGAAGGACATGTCACAGAGGTCTTTAAGAGTGTTACAAAGAATTAAGTCCCTAACCCAGATAGTAAATGCTAACAAATAATATCCATATGCTGTGTCAACATTTATGGTGGATATTTGTTTAATAAAGTTTGCTTTCTAGCTGGGGAGTCAGGGGTGGAAGAGTGGCTCACACCTTTAATCCCAGTATTGGTGGCAGAGGCATTCAGGTCACTGAGTTCAAGGCCAGCCTGGTCTACAGAGCAAGTTCCAAGACAGCCAAGGCTACACAAAGAAAGCTTTTTTTGGAAAAAATAAATAAAGTTGCTTTCTGCCTATAGTCAGTCTTTCTTTGGACTACCAGTCCACAAAAGATAACATGGAGACTTATTACTAATTATGAAAGCTTGAGCTGGGCGATGGTAGCACATGCCTTTGCTCCCAGCATTAGGGATCTCTGTGAGTTTGAGACCAGCCTGGTTTACAGAGCTAGTTCCAGGACAGCCTCTAAAGTCGCAGAGAAACCCTGTCTCGAAAAACCAGATAATAATAATAATAATAATAGTTATTATTATTATTATTATTATTGGCCTTCAGCTTGGGCTCGTTCCCAGCTAGCTCTTATAGCAGTTAGCCTGCTTACACTGGTCTACATTTTGCCACATGACTTTCTACCTCTTTCCCATCCTGTGCATCCGACTGGTTCCGTGTCTTCCTGGTGTCCTCTGTGGGCCTAGATTCCTCCTCCAGTTTCTCTGTCTCCTCACAAGTCTGAACTATTCTCTCCTGCCTAGCTATTGGCCATTTAGCTATTTTTTTATTTTTTATTTTTTCGTTTTTCGAGACAGGGTTTCTCTGTATTGTTTTGGAGGCTGTCCTGGAACTTGCTCTGTAGACCAGGCTGGCCTCGAACTCACAGAGATCTGCCTGCCTCTGCCTCCCGAGTGCTGGGATTAAAGGCGTGCGCCACCAATGCCCGGCCATTTAGCTCTTTATTAAACCAATCATGGACATACATCTTTTACACACTGTAAACAAATATTCCACAACATCTGTCTATTCGCTGTTTTCAGCATTTGCTACCATAATGTACCTACACGTGCACACACACACACACACACACACACACACACACACACACAGGTGCATGCACCCACACACAAACACAATATGCATTATCCATGGGTCAAGGGCAAGGAAGAGTATACAACTGAAGATTTAGGTTGTAAAAAATGATTGTATGGGGCCAGGCAGTGGTGGTGCACTCCTTTAATCCCAGCACTCAGGAGGCAGAGGTGAGTGGATCTCCGTGAGTTTGAGTCCAGCCTGGTTTACAGAGTGAGTTACACAGGGAAACCCTCTCTTGAGAGAGAGAGAGAGAGAGAGAGAGAGAGAGAGAGAGAGAGAGAGAGAGAGAGAGAGAGAGAGAGAGAGAGATTCATTGTTTAAGCTTTGTTTTCTAAATAATTTTCATCTAAAGTAGTGGGAATAATTTTTGGAGACCCTACGGTACCAGTGTATTCATCTTCTCTCCACATATAGGTAAGCCCTTTTGGCCACCTAGTTTTTGTATGTAACCAATCACCCCAAAGCTTACCAACTTAAGACAATGATTTATGAAAAGGAAAGTATGTACTGTTTCTCTTGGTTCTGGTGTGTCCTCATCTAGCTGCTTACTCAGCAGCTGCGGTCAGCTGGGAGTCTAGAATGACGGATGTCTTGGCCTTTTGTTTTCTGTTGGATGAGAAAGCCATGCTTTTCCACATGACCTTTCTTTCTCTCCACATGTTCTTTTCTCCATTGTTAATCTAGCTGAAGCTTCTTTGTAGGGTGGCTTGCTTTCCAAAGAAGGGAAACAAAGCCACCAGGCTTCTTAAGGGCTTGACCTGGTTCTGGCATGCATGCTCTCCAGCTGCGAAGAGTACAGCAAGGGTTTAGGAAAAGCTGTTTCTACTACAAAGTATTGGCTTGGGTTAGACTCAAGGCTGAAGGCACAGGGACAGGTCCTTGTCCAACAGCTGCAGTTACCTTGTGTTCCAGGAAGAACAAAGCCTTTGAAGACGGGACCCTCCACCACATCAGGTGAGGGCAATGCTGCATCCTGGTGTAGAGGTAATCTTATAGAAACCCATGATTCACAGATTAACAACAACAGATGACCAGGTTAGCAGTTTACCAACTGCCTTGCAGGACTGGAGCTGAGACAGTGATGGACAGGGCTACTTTTGACCAGGACTCATGATTCTGCATATATCTTTCTTCTTACCCCACATCTCTGCTCACATCAAAGCTTGAGGATGAACTAGGAGTCATAGACTCCCTCTATCTGTTCCTTTCCCTGATAGTGATGAACTCTTTCCCTGCCTTACACCATTACCCATGCCTTAATTGTTATGGTGGGATGAGTGACCTTGCCTGACTGGTTAGAGCTGCTGGAGCTGAGGCTACTGCTTAAACTCCACTTGCAACTTGAGTGAGTCACATACCTTGCGGCATCAGCCATTAGTAACAAGTGACCCTAAATGCATGGGAATGATTGAAGGGTCCCATACAGATGTTGGGATCACTTATATCACTTCCTCCTCCTTCTCCTCTTCCTCCTCCTCCTTCTCCTCTTCCTCCTCCTCCTCCTTTTTTTCTCCAGACAGAGTTTCTCAGTGTAGCGTTGGCTGTCCTGGAACTTACTATGTGGACCACACTGGCCTTGAGCTCACAGACATTCACCTGACTCTGCCTCCAGAATGCTAGGATTAAAGGCTTGTGCCACCATGCCTGGTAGGACTTTTTCTTATCTTTCTGCTTTGGTCAAAACCTACTGCTTTCTATCATCTGATGAAGCAGAGAAACACATGTTTATACTCTGCAGGCTCTAGAGTTTGACTCTGGATGATTTCCCTGACTTGATGCACTTCAAGTGTTGCCCTTGCTGTGTATGTCAGTTAGGAGGTGTTTTGAGCTTCTTGTACACCTGCCATTTGCCCTAAAATACTCTGTCTTTGAAGGCCCTTTTGCACTGGGGGTGTTTTGAACTATTGAGTATCTGCTCTTTGTTTGATAGGCCTTGTCTTTGGGCTCTTTTGGATAGTTCTGAGTTCATTTGAATTATTTGGGAGTCTGCTGAGGTGCCAGGGAAGCTTGGATTCTGTAATTTTCTATATAAAGTGTTATGGTAAAGCGTGTGGGGGCCGGGTGTTGGTGGTGCATGCCTTTAATCCCAGCACTTGGGAGGCAGAGGCAGGTGGATCTCTGAGTTCGAGGCCAGCCTGGTCTATAAGAGCGAGTTCCAGGACAGTCTCCAAAGCCACAGAGAAACCCTGTCTCAAAAAAAACCAAAACAACAACAACAACAACAAAAAACACTTGGGGGACCTTGGCTGGTTCCATGGCTTACAAGGGTGACCGAGGTGGAGGGACAAACACTCCAGGCAGACAGAGCTTAAGTGAGAAGTTTTATTAGAAAGGGGAGGGCAGGGGAAGGAAAGAGAAAAGAGGTGAAGAGATACAGAGACAGAGAGGACAGAAGAGAAGAGAAGAGGGGGACAGGAAAAGCCCTGTCTGCCCCAGGGGAACAGCAGGAAAGAGAGCTGGAAAGGAGAGTGGGAAAAAGAGCATAAATGGGTGGAGAGGTCTTTTTTTTTTTTTTTTTTTTTTTTTGGTTTTTCGAGACAGGGTTTCTCTGTGGCTTTGGAGGTTGTCCTGGAACTCGCTCTGTAGACCAGGCTGGCCTCGAACTCACAGAGGTCCGCCTGCCTCTGCCTCCCGAGTGCTGGGATTAAAGGCGTGCGCCACCAACGCCTGGCTAGAGAGGTCTTCTTTCTTCCTTCCTTTCTTTCTTTCTTCTTCTTCTTCTTCTTCTTTTTTTTTCCAAGACAGGATTTCTCTGTGGCTTTGGAGGCTGTCCTGAAATTAGCTCTTGTAGACCAGGCTGGTCTCGAACTCACAGAGATCCGCCTGCCTCTGCCTCCCGAGTGCTGGGATTAAAGGTGTGCGCCACCGCCTGGTGACAAGTCTTTCTTTTAAAGGCATCCTTTACACCTGCCTGAGTGCATTTTGCCAGGTGACAGACTAACATAGTCTCAAAAACTAAAACCACCACCACCGCCACCCCCCCCCCCCCAGCTATCTATTGGAGCTTTACAACTGAGAATTTGGGTAAGTATATTTTCCATTTACACCCCCTTAATTGGCAGTGTTAAA